CACACACAGACATATAGACACACACAGACATATAGAACACACAGACATATAGACACGCACACATACATACACACACACACACACTGACACCCTCTCGCCAATATGCGTTTTCCGCATTGTATAGCTGCAAAAAACGCATAAAAAAACCATAAAAATCATCCGATCCCAAGTCCTTTGTTTTACTCCCAATTATTTACAGACACCCAGCGGGTATGCCATATACGGTATAGTGGGCAGTGTGGTAGCAGATGCCAACAGCAACCAACCGCTCGCCTTTACAGCTGACGAAACTCTCGGTGGCTCTCTCGTTCGAGAGTTTCATATGTACATGATCAGTATGCAAATTTTTTGACTTTCTGGCTTTGAATAGCTAATGAGTGGCGCAAAATAATCGTTACCCTGTTGTTAAACAATCGTTTCAATTGTGCCTGCATAATTCGTAAATTGTGTGGATAATCAGCGATCAGGTGATCAAAAAGGTCGTCTGTTCCCGCGGGAATCTGCAGTTTCTCCAGCCACTGGGCGTAAAAATTACGCAGTGCTTCTGAAAAACTTTTTTTTTTCTCACTAATCCAGTGGTAGAAACTCACAAAGACTAACTTTTGCATGTAATACCAGTTTCATTATCTGTACACATTCAGCTCCTTTTTTGGCTACCTCAAATCGCAACTTACACTTTATAAAAATCTGACCAAAATATGAACATTTTATGCAACGATCAACAGATCACAATGCAGCAGTCTATGTTTCATCCCTTAGTTGTAAACACAGACACAGGTTTTACATGCATACCTCTTCCTCTACCACTTTTTTTTAAACTTATTTTATAGCTCTCCTTAAACTCATTTTATAGCTTGACAATATGTACTCAGAGGCAGTAACAATTGGAGTCTCAGTGGTTTCCTCCAACGCGTTTAAAATAATTACAGAAACGTGGATCTCAAAAAAAGGACAAAAGTTGGAAAAACAAATTAGCTAAAATTCGTGGGCAAACTGTAATTTATACTCTAGTTTTTAAAATATATATCCTTAGTTTTTTTCCAGTTGCTTTGACCAATTGCAGCATCAGTGGTGGTCAGCCTGAATCTCTAAGAATTCAAGTAAAAAAGGTCCTAAACTCAAATTACTATTAAAATATCACAGTAAATCCCGTCGCCTCAAATTCTTTAAATTCCAAGTGTATTCTTAACAAATGTTGTTTTGTGGCGTACTTTTCAATTTCTAATAATAAGAATTTGTCATATTTTTCATCGTTTCTGATGGTTATTGAGGGTGATCTTGAAATACAAAAAAGTACGTGGAATTGACCTAGATCCTGCCCTCGCGTATTTTTTTTTTTAGATATCAAATTTGCTGCATACTCAACAATCGGTGCACAACCGACACTTTGATATTTCAGGAAATTCTAAGTGTGCTTTAAGATAAAAGCGAGGCAGACGATGAGGACGATGAAGGAAAAGGGAGGAAAGTTTTTTATGAGATTTTTTTTTGAGATTTTTAATTTTGAGGTTTTTAATTTTTGAGATTTTTTGAGATTTTTAATTTTAAGATTTTCAATTTTTGAGATTTTTTGAGAAAATTTTGAGATTTTTAATGGAGGTGGGACGAGGAAAGGAGACAAAAAAAACCCGTTAATATAAAACCGTGCTCACGTTGGTACGTTGGTGCGCCTTACTATTTGTCAGATTTTACAGAATCATCGAACTGAAAAAAAGGTAATTCTTGAATAGCGAAAAAATCTTTACCGTTCATGGCTTCTATCGAGTCTGGCGCGCAATCTTCTTTCTTTTTGCCCAATGTTACGGCTGGGATCTCCTTGGTCAGTTTACGAGGCCATTCCGGGAAAGTATATGTCACTGGATATTGCACATGGCTACGCGATAACTCCATATCGGCCAAGCAGAACGCTCCCACCAAATAACAGCCGGCCGAACCACTTTTCGGCAGTCTGAAATATTCAGGTGACTGCAGGCCGGGAAATCACAGAAAAAAAGACAATGCTGGGATAGAGATTGGGAAAAAACATGGAAAATAATGAGAGTTCGAAAAAAAAAGCCGATATCCTCCACGGATTTATTCGCTGCAAGGAGCGGAAGTACTCTGAATTAGCCGGAGTAGTAGCATGCGTAAAGAACAACCCTCACCTCGCAACTAAGGTTACCAGAGCGTTGAGATTTCCCGAGCATCATACACGGTCAGATGGATTAAGGGCAGGTCCTTATGTTTGGGCAAATCCTTGTGATCACATGGGTTAAACGCTGATGATTCCCTCCTCTAAGGTTGTTTGAAAGGGGATAAAGAACTTTTTCTTTTTATGTGACAACACCAATTTTCGAAACGGATCAACAAATTAATCGTTGAAAATTAATTTTTCCCCTGGCGCACCGAAACCTCGGCTTCAGCACGACAGCAGCGTATGCTTGCTAGCAATATTTTGATAAAAAGTCGATAAAAAAGGGATATTTTGAGCAACTAAATTTCCGAAAAAGCGATTATAAAGGGCCAGAAACATAGAAAACATGTAGGATGAACAAGGTGAACTGCTGAACGATGGTACCCAAGGAATGAAAAGTGAACGGGGGTAAGAAAAAAAATAATGAAAAAGGCCAGAATACCACACTTGTCATCGGGAAATTGGCCAATGTATACTGTCGCAATTTCACCAGGTTTCAGGGTTTTCGTACCAAATTTCTTTCCATCACCTTTCACAGCGCCTAAAACAAAACTGCAAGTTAAAGCAGGAAAAAAAGCACTGCACCAAAAAATGATAAGATACATAAAATATAACCTAAAAAATGATAAGATACACAAAAAAACCGAAAAATCATAAGATACATAAAAAAGAGCTAAAAACAGATAGATTTGACAACATTTAAAAAAAAAGCTGTTGCAAAAAGCTTTTTAAAATAAAAACAGTCTATTTAACTACAACATAACAACTGAGGTCTTGTAAAGTGCTTCTTCTAGAAGAACAGCTGGGCTGATAACTCCTTCAAAAAACGAAATGAACGTCAACAGAGTCAAAATGCTAGCTGCAAGGCGACGTAGCAGTGGTCAAAGCAACTGGAAAGTAGGAGAGCAGCTGTATAGCTGGAGAATAAGACTTTATGGGAATAAGATCTGAACAGCGCTTTCAGTTTTTATGCGTTTTTAGTTATGCAATACAAAAACGCATATTGAAGAGAGGCTGTCTGTGTGTCTGTGCACCTGTCACGCACTTTCATCTCAAGACCTATAAAAGCTGTGGAGCTGGAATTTCGGGAACTTAATCTACATGCACGTGCCGGCCCCAATCCTCAAAATGGGCGCCAGCACCCGTGTGGTACCTGCGTGCGGACCCGTCAAAGTTTTTTTGAGGTAAGTTCATAACTCGGGGATCTGAGAAGCTAGAACGCTGAAATCTTAGGAGGGTGTTCCCTGCTCAACTAGGTGTTAATGCACTCGAACTCATCCCCCGAGTAAGCATGGTACCCGCGCACGAGCCCGTCAAAATTTTTTTCGGGTAAGTTCATAACTCGGGGATCTGAGAAGCTAGAACGCTGAAATCTTACGGCAATTTTCCCCGCCCAGGTGGGTATTAACGAGTTCAAACCCTGCTCGCGGGCAAGCGTGGTACCTACGTACGGACTCTTGAGAATTTCTTCCAGGTAAATTGCTAAGTCGGGAAAGTGAGAAGCTAGAAAACTGGGATTTTGAAGGGATGCTTCCTGGCAGTCCTGGCGATCAGTCTGAAATTCTTTTAGCTAGAAGCGTCTGCCAGAAAAACCAGTGCCGTTAGCGACAAAAATCTGTGGGGAGCTATGCAAAAAACGCATCTTCGCACGGGCAGCCCGTGCGTTGGCCAACTGTTTTCAATTGTCAAAATTTGACTGTGTTGTTCTCTATGGCGGGACCACAACGCCAAACAAACTGTATATGTTAACACATAGAAGATTTCAGGCCCCCGTCCTCTTCCAGTCTCCCAGCCAGGGATATTCTTTATTGTTTGTTTCTTTAAAATTTCTGAAACTCAAGTATGATGAAATCTACCACATAATACCACGTAAGCACCGGGAAGTGTAGTATTGCTGCTAGCAAGATGCAGCGACAAGAGAAAAGAGGAATGGGACAGTCGACTATGTTTATTCGATATTCTGCGAAGAAGCCAAATTTTACAACCTCATTTAAGCTAGTCGGTATTTGCATTGGGTGATGTCTGTGTTTCATCCCTGAACTGTAAACACAGACGAATAAAATGGTGCGAAATGGGGTGGGAATCATCAGTATAGCGTCCCATTAAAACCCATGTCTAGACTTACTGTCCCGTGGAATTTTAAAGGTGATCAAATACCTTCAATGAAAAGATTTCGAGCAAAAATAAAAACGAATGAGATGGGCAAAACCACGGTTTCTATAAAGCGATGCGACGAAAAGCTTGCTTTCATAATTCTGGAAGCAATCCAAACTTATCGGCGTGGCCAGTTTGAGTTTCAATATCAAAATAGTTTCACGATATTTTTCAAGCAGCGTTGCATCC